GACTAAGGGTCATGAAATGCGCGTACTTGGTCAGCCTGTCCACCACCACGAAGAGCACGGATCGCCCGCCTGAAATGGGTAAGCCTTCAACAAAATCCATGGAAATATCTTCCCATACCTGGCATGGAATCGGTAACGGCTGGAGAAGCCCGACTGGAGATAGTGTTTCTATCTTTACACGCTGGCAAGTGTCACAGGAGGCGATATAATCCCACACGACCTTGCCCATCTGCGGCCAATAGAAATGGAGCGCAACACGCGCTAAAGTTCGTTGAGCTCCGGAGTGGCCTCCCATGGGCGAATCATGAAATTCTTGTAGCACGGTGGTGACAAGGCTCGAGAGCGGAGGTAGCACTACGCGATCGCGATAATACACCAGGCCACCGCGGAATGCGTAATGGCCAGGGGTCTCAGATAATGCTTTGGCTTTGACTGCTTGAAGGTAGGGGTTGGATTGGACCGCGGTGCGCAAGTCATCCCACACCGTCGCGACTGGACTAGTCATGGCGTGCAACTGTTCATCCTCGCCCGGTTACTCGCCCCCGTCCTGTAATGCAACTCATAATCAAAACCCATTAGTTTACTCACCCACTTATGCTGATCAGGGGTGGCGAATCGTTGATCCAGGAGGTATTTAAGACTTCGCTAATCAGTGTAGATATGGAACTTTTGTCCGAGAAGGTAGGGCCGACACTGCTGAACTGCTTGAGTAATGGCGAAAATTTCCTTCTGGTACGTCGACCAAGCTTCTTTCGCCGGCCCCAACATTTTGCTCATATAGGCGATAGGATGACACTACTGAGATAACACCGCGCCAACCCCCTTGCCCGATGCGTCAGCCTCAATTACGAAGGAAAGGTCCAAATTTGGCATAGCCAACGTCGGGGTGGAAACGAGGGCTTTCTTAAGGGCCGAGAAGGCCTGATCCGCCCCCGGGGTCCACTTGAAACTGCCTTTCCGTAAGAGATCGGTGAGTGGTCTCGCTATCTCCCCGTAGCTCTTTACGAACTTACGATAATAGCCTGTCAAGCCCAGGAACCCGCAAAGCGCAGTCACGGTCTTCGGCACTGGCCACTCCATCATTGCCTGAACCTTCTAAGGATCGACGCGGACCCTTTTGTCGGAGATGGGATGTCCCAAATACTCGAGTTCTTGCAACCCAAATGCACATTTAGAGAACTTGACATAATAATGATGCTGTTGTAGGAGTGCTAGAGTCGCCCTGACGTGCTCTAGATGCTCATTCCATGTTCTGCTATAGATCAGAATATCGTCAAAAAAACCAACACATATTTGCGCAAAACTGGCCGAAAAAGATCATTCATTACAGCTTGAAACGTGGAGGGCGCATTGTAGAGCCCAAAGGGCATCACCAGGTACTCGTAGTGCCCATTGTGTGTTCAAAATGTTGTCTTATACACATCTGCCTCGTCCATTCGAATTTGGTGGTACCCGGCGCGCAAATCCAGTCTAGTGAAGTATTTTGCTCCATAGAGCTCATCGAGCATATCATCTACTGTGGGTATCGGATAACGATCTCGAATGGTGACCGAGTTTAAAGCCCAGTAGTCAGTACAAAACCTCCATGTGTCGTCTTTTTTCTTTATGAGCAAAACCGGGGATGAAAAAGGGCTCGAACTCGGCCGAATAAGTCCTGCCTCCAGCATCTCCTGGACTTGCCTCTCGATTTCAGCCTTCTGTTGGTGCGCGTACCGATACGGCCGGACATTCATGGCTGCAGCTCCTCCTTTCAATGGAATGCGATAATCAACCTCTCGTTTGGGCGGCAATTCGTTGGGAGTATCAAAGATAGAGCCATACTCGGCAACAAGCTAGCGCATGCCGGGGGATAGCGGCGATAATTCGTCGGCCTGGAGAGGAAAGAGTAGTGCCCAGGTAGTCCCTTCTTCGGTGCGAATTTCGTCAAACGAGACTTGCTTGAGGCCCGCTGCGATGCCTTGGAGGCAATAATCATTGTCTCGCCACTTGAATTTCATGCACAAGGTCTTCCAGTCACAAGTCACGGGTCCCAATTCTTCCAACCACTGAACCCCCAACACCATTCCAATCCGCGGATTGGTAAGATGAACAGTGATACCGTAATCGTCGAACCTTGCATATGGAGGGTGACATTGTCGCACTTGTTGTGACAGATCAAGGGTTCGCCGTTGGCCACCTTCACAACGAACGGCGTGATCGGCTCAACGTGCAGCCGCATCTCTTCGGCTTTCTTCTCCGTCACGAAATTGTGGGTCGAGCCACTGTCAACCAACACAATTGCGTCTACTCCAGCGACGTGAGCCTGAAACCGCAGGGTTTTTGGTCCTGAGAGCCCAGTCACAGCGGTGAGAGATATCTCTGCCAAGTTGGTTGCCTGATGGTCATTGGCGTCGACGTTGGCGGCGGCGGCGTCGCTCCGCTGCTCACCGTCTCCGGCGTCGCGTTCGTTCGTGGGGATAAAACCCTGCTAGCAGTTGCTCCAAAGCGCCCATACGTTCACCCAACGCGTAACATGCCCTAGTGGTACGTTGCGCTACCGCGCAGCACGTGGTGAGATCGAAAGACATGCTCTAATACCAATTGATAGCAACTCGTAGCTCACGAGTTAGGAGGTTCCTCTGCTAGGCGCAGATCGGTCGTATTAGGGTTGTTTTTTGATAATTGATTGCCTTTCATTATCATAACCAGTGCTTAAATAGGAACTTACAATCCGAACGTAAACAGGAAAACCAAAGAACCTACTAACTATGAAAGGTAACGTGGGTTGGACTTAATGACCCATCTCGATACACTTGGCTGCATGGGTGGCCGGCCCACGTCCTTCGAGTTGCTACCAATCTCATCCATTTCCTTTGAGTTCTAAGAGAGTGACATGCTTCCTTATCACCTCCTTCCACCATTGTTATCTCCCTTCATCGTCCTTGAGGCCACATGCAAGTATAGTCGGGAGAGTGCAAAGCTTTTGTGGTTATTGAAGTGGGTATTAACTGTATAAGGTAAGTTGTTTTCCCTTTGGTACTGCTCACGATTATTGTTCTATAAAGGGGTGTTTGTTTGGGTCTCTTAGGAGAGAAAAAGTGAATTAAAGCCCTCTGTAGTGGAGGGAAACTTTGGTTGAGTTATGATGTGCTGCTGCGTATTAAGAATATATATATATGGCAAAGGCTAGCGTACGCCTGGACGTACCCTAGCCTACCGTACGCCCGTTGAGTATATATATATATATATATATATATATATATATATATATATATATATATATATATGGAACCGACTCGTGTGCTCCAGGCGCATAGCATGCTCCAGGTCCTGAGATCGTTGATCTAATCTAACGGCTAGTATTAATTATATTAAAATTATATATTTAATAATAATTATAATTACAAAATACACCCTTGAAATAATTATACGTGCTATGAAGTCCCCAAACAATAATTACCATCATGTTTGCTCGTATGATACCTTATTTTGTAGAGTTCCTTATTCAACCCCAAAATTTATACAATTGATAAAAACAAATTCTCCATTAAAATTTGGCTGGAATGGTTTATGAATCAAAACTTCATTGTCATCATCCACTCAAAGGTTATCGTAGCAGACCATCCCTAATTCCCTCTTCTTCTTCTTCTTCGTCCCGACTGTCCCTCCTCTCCTCGCTCTATCAATCCCATCTCGACCCTTCAAACTCCTTCTCTCCCACTCCCTATCTTTTATCCCCTTCGTAGCCCAGACTTTCGATTGGGCGCAGCAGGACGAGCAGAACACTACATCCACCATTGCTGACTCGGAATAGGAAGAAGAAGGTGAGGATTCGGCAGCCGAGGAGGGCCCGGTGGCTTCCTACGCCGCCGCCGAAGATGGGGATGATGCAATTGAGGCGCAGGAGCCGTCGGAGGACGCCAAAGTGTTCGTCGGTAACTTGCCGTACGATGTGGATGGTGAGAAATTGGCTATGCTCTTCGAGCAAGCTGGAACTGTAGAGATTGCTGAGGTTTGTTTCGATGGACAATCTTCGAGCAAGCTGGAACTACCAGCGAGCGCTCGACGACGAGCTCGATAATCTCCTCGCCCAGCGGAGCTATCTCGACAAGCAGCTCGTCCACCTCCAGAAATCGGCCGAGGTTCTCGAGATTGTCAAGGCCGATTCTGACTACATGCTCAGCAATGTTGGCTCCACCTGCGACCTCGCTGACCACGTCAGCGCCCAGGTTCGGGAGCTGGACCTGGCTCAGTCGCGAGTGAACACTACCGTGCTACGGATCGACGCCATTGTCGAGAGAGGGAATTGCATCGACGGAGTGAAGAACGCTCTGGAGTCGGAGGATTACGAGTCGGCCGCCAAGTATGTGCAGACGTTCCTTCAGATTGATGCCAAGTACAAAGACTCCGGATCCGAGCAGAGAGATCAGTTGCTGGCTTCCAAGAAGCAGCTTGAAGGGATTGTGAGGAAGCGGCTCGCTGCTGCAGTGGATCAGCGAGATCATCCCACGATTCTGAGGTTCATTCGGCTGTATTCGCCTCTGGGATTGGAGGAGGAAGGGTTGCAGGTTTACGTAGGGTATTTGAAGAAGGTAATTTCTATGAGATCGCGGCTTGAATTTGAGCATTTGGTGGAGTTGATGGAGCAGGGGCATGCTCAAAACCAGGTTGATTTTGTTGGTTGTTTGACTAACTTGTTTAAAGACATTGTGCTAGCCATAGAAGAGAACGATGAAATATTGAGGAGTCTCTGTGGAGAAGATGGGATTGTTTACGCGATTTGTGAATTGCAAGAAGAGTGTGATTCTAGGGGTTCCCTCATTTTGAATACCATATATCTGAATACCAAAACTAGATGCTTTTACTGTGAAAACTAGATTTGATGGTGATAACAACGGAAAAACAGACTTCTAGTGCACAAGTCAAACATTGGATCATCCACATGATCTTCCTAATTTGTATTGTATGGATTCTGCCAATCTGAATATTCTGAAATTATTTTCTTCTTGTGCTATTCTCCAGGTGGTTTGGAATACAGCTTAATCCTCAGTTTCTGAGTATTGATTTAAAGTATGTAAGCTTAATCCCTTTGGTTTAACTTGGTTCTTTCAGTAAAAGCATTGAGCTAATTGTAAATTAGTTTGCTTCTGCAGATTCTTCTTTGTTAGAGCTGGAATGATGGGATGGCTGTTTATAAACCTGTCGGTTTTAGCAAAGAGTATCCAAGATGGTACCCTGAACCAGTCAATGATCCTTTACCAAAGCTTCTGTACAGTAAGTTGCTATTTTATACTTGACAGTGTGATTTCTTTTGAAGAAACATAGGTTTGATATCCCTGATGAATCCTTTGCTCTCGGCATCCTTCTCCAGTTATACATCCTGGACTACTTTTTCTACGAAGAATACATGACATCTACGTAAGTACACCCAAAGAACATGTTTTTTGTCCCATTTCGTGAGCTGTAGTTGTTTTTCTGTGGTCGAACCTCCAGTATGATCATGGTCCATCTGAAACTTTCCGACTATTCTCATTTCCTTCTGACTATTCTCATTTCTAGATGGGACATAATTGCGGAGAGATTGGGCTTTATGCTGGTGTTTGGGGATCTCGTTTGGATTCCTTTTACCTTTAGCATTCAGGTATTCAACTTTGCACTCCCTAATCTTCTACCACTTCAGAGGAAAACTTGGCATAACTTATATCAGATGTTATGGTTCAAACTTTTAAACAGGGATGGTGGCTGCTAAGAAACAACGTGGAGCTAACAACAGCAGCCGTCATTGCTAATTGCTTTGTGTTCCTGATTGGGTAAACAGAGAATAATGCACTGCCATTCTATTTCACTTGTTTATACGTATTACCTAAACTCACACTGCTGGAGTGTATTAAATCATATTCAGATGTTGAAGCTTCTTCCTATTTGATACTGATGTTGAAGCTTCTTCCTTTTGCTTTTACTGTAACACCAATTTTTGGATATTTTTCAGGAGCTTTTCTGCTGTTGGTGTCGATCCTGCCATAATGGGTGTTGGTCCAGCTGTTGCAATTCCAGCAGATGTTAAAGCTGCTGGTCTAGAGCTTGAAGATATCGACCTTTTTGTGTCCATGTGCATAGGTCGGGGATATACCATATGGACTAGTCCCTTACTCTTCTAGATTGAATTGTGTTGTTCGATCAGCGATGTACCATGTGGCTAACTATGACAACTCTAATGTGCAGGAACCGGGATGGGAGAGGCAGCTGTGTTCGAAAGAGGGGATTGTGTAGATGGCCTTTGCAATGCGAAGAAAATAGACAGCCAGAACCTCTTATCCAAAGATGCCAAGTAAAACCGTTTCTCGCTGCTGGGAGGAATGATTGCCGGAACCCTCTCTCAATAGGACAGGACAACACAATAAAGTATTTGATCTTCTGTTTGATATACCTTCAACTGAGTTCAACTTGGTGATGTACACAGGACATGTGAGGGAGGTTCTTGACAGTTAACAAAGCTGCTCCTAGAGGATCAAGGCCGGAGCGGGCTCCCCCGTGTGTTCGAACCTCTATTTTTGGACTAGAATGCATTAATAGTATGTTTGTTGTGTAATTCTCACGTTGTTAACTCAATGCAAATACAAACGAATTTACTTCCACTGTTGACAAAAGCAATCAAGTCACATCTACTAATACTAATTTGTTCAAAGTACCATAACTAATTTAAATTCATATTTTACATCAAGCACCCCTCAAAAGGATAATAAACGTACAAAAGATATTAGCGTTCACATATCCATTACGCTTACAGAACACGAGAGATTACAGAGAGGTGGACCATTAATAACATTAATCCGATCATATTAATAATACCCAATTGCTACTTAGTTATCTAAAGGCAGGAACAACTTAACCAAGAATAAATCAAAATAATTCCCCACGTTGTTCCAAGGACCGATTGTGACCATGACTTCATATGACTTGTCACCAATCAAGTTGAGAAGTGTAAGATAGTCGGCATTGTCAATCTCAGAAGGACTGACTACAGAAGAAATGATTCTCCGTAAGTATGATGATGGGAACACGACCTCAACATCACAAATGTCATCTTCAATGGTCAAGTGGATCAAGTATACTCTCGATGCATCACACCAAGATCTCGTCAGCTCTGTTACAACGCCAGAGAAAATGTACGAAGTGCCCTGATATAATGCAGAAGATGATGATTTGCAAAAAAATAAACAAATCAGATGCAAATCAATCACAGAAGAGATAGAGAAGGATAGATAACAAGCGTCTTATCTTACTCACCTGATCATCACCATCCAATTGCTTTGGGATTAGATCTAAAGTTTCAACCCTCTCAGACATTGCCACGGCATTTTGATAATTTAGATTCGTAACAAAATCATCTCCAAGGGTAAAAAACCTATAATTTAGATTATTAGCAATTGTATTAAGTAGTTATGAGAACACAAGAATATGGTTTATTATGAGTTGGTTGGGAAACCATTACTTACGGGTTCCATTCAGGTATGTTGTCCATCTCAAATATATGTCACACTGATTTCCTTCTGCTCAACCTCTATTTTTGGAAGTATCTGCCATTATCAAAAGAGGATATTGTTCCGACACTAATCAAATAATCATGTACAAATGAAGAGAAGACACATCTTAGGCATCAGAAACAAAGACATGCAAGGCAAAATCAAAATAAAAGAATGTTCGAAAGTAGAAATACTAGCTGAACAGCGTATGAAAGAAAGAAGGCCTCAGTCCTTCACATTCAACTCATAGTCAGGGTTGCTGGTATTCTTCTCATTTCTAAACAAATTATAGCCAATGAAAAGAGCAAGCTGAATCCATTTAGCAGCTCATAATCTTCAATATCTGATACCTATTCAATATCATATTCACTTTAGAAAACATAGCTTACTGCAGGGCGCCACCATCAAGGAATGCAGACACAGTAGTAAACTAGAGGGGAAAGCGAGAAACCTGGTGAAGTTCAGCAGGATAAACTAATCCCGCAAGTTACTGGAATCGGGAGGTCGCCAGTGCTTCTTCTCAACTGCTGTTTTCCTTTGCTAACGGAAGCCGAAATCAATTCCTCTGTTCCATAAACACGTCGTCTACAAGTTAGCTCGGAACTTCAATAAAGCAAAGACGAAGCTCGAAGAAGAGAATAGTGTGCAAACTTCTAATGGCGGCGCGGAATCGCAAAGCGTTCCCCTTCACCAGGTCGTTGCCCAATCGACTAAGAATTATCTGAGAGCAGAAGGAGGCGTACCCAAAGGAGCGGAGGACGCGATTATCGCCAACCTGTTGATGAGTGGAAAGAAAATATAAATGTGAGATGCTGGCAAAATCTTGAGAATCAACTCTTAGGGATGAGAATAATGTGGGTCAGGCAGATAGGAGGACAGCCAAACCCGACCATGCAATGAACCAGTCCGATTGATGTCTTCGCCGGGAACGGAACAGAGGCGCCGAAGGGAAGAGGAAGAGGAAGCGGAAACGTTTTCGTGATCCTTTTTGGTTTTGGTTTTTTTTTTTATGCAAACGTTTTGGCCGGCCAAACCCAACTAATGGGCCTATATCAACAGCCCAAACTTACAACTAGCCGGCCAACGGGAGAACGCGCCTGCTGCACTGTTGGGCCTATTCGGTGGTAGTAATGTTGGTTGTTTCTGATCTCAAGCCCTCAACTGCAAAAAAAGTCTTCAATTCGTCTACTCGTCGGGCCCTAATTAGACAGAACTCTTGGCCGACTTCGATGGAATGGGGCACGAGAAAGTCCAGTTATGGTTTGGTGTTTCCTAATGGACACCGCTACTATTATTATATAGGTAAGTGAATGTGTGTTCTTATCCATTTGTCGATGTGGTAGAAACAGAGAATAATCATCTTCCATGTCCATCCAATTAGCTTCTTGTCTCCTTTTCCTTCGAATTGGTCCTTGCAGGTTGTGAAAGGGTTTCTCTTTCCTGCCAGTTTAGTGTACGGTATCATCCTTTTGGGGTTGGAATTAACGGAGAAGTACTCTTTAGCAAATCATCAATTATGTCGTCAATCTGGGTCTGACAAAAGAGTAATCACTTACCTTCGACCTTTTTTATAGTTTACTAAGTCATGGTCTCATGGAGAATGATTTTACATGGATTGGGTAAGTGATATTGGCGTTAGATTTTAACTAATAAGAAGGCCTTCACTATTCTTATCAGCTCAAGTGCCATTCTTATAGGTTGTGGTCTACGCCTTTATATATGGTGCCCAATTAGACATTTACAAATAAATTACAACCTCTAAGGCAATAAAATATGGACATAGAATTATATAATTGGTAATTGAACCCTAAACCCTAAACTCCAAACCCTAAACCCTATACCCTAAACCCTGAACCCTATACCCTGCACCCTGATCCCTATACCCTAAACCCTGAACCTTATCCCCTGAACCCTAAACCCTGAACCCTATATCTCCGCAAGATCAGTTCTCATAGTAGCATAACACATGCAAACGAGTCATATTCAATGGGTTGACTTTTGGTTGACTTCTGTCTATCGTTCTTTCTCAATAACGTAAAAATGGCTAATATTTTGATGCATCATGAAATATTTGGATAATTAATAGAATTTTAATAGGTTTGTAATTTTGTGCCCAGTTTGAACATTTTATGAGCTTAACTCGATTTTGGGTTTTGGGTACTTGTAATGAGCTTATCGGCCGACTTTGAGTAATCTTTGAGATCGAAATATGTGAAGACATATGTTCTCTTTGTTATACCCTCTTGTCATACACTGCACCCTATACACTGAACCCTAAACCCTAAACCCTAAACCCTATACCCTGAACCCTAAATCCTGAACCCTATACCCTGAACCATATACCATGAACCTTAAACCCTAAACCCTAAACCCTAAACCCTATACCCTGAACCATAAACCCTAAACCCTAAACCCTAAACCCTATACCAAGAACCCTAAACCCTAAACCCTAAACACTCGTTTATATGAGCGGTAACTTTAAACAATTTTATATATACTTAAATTGAGGACATAGGTTTAGAATTTGAAAAAAAATAAAGAAACAATGAATATAAATTTTCATTCCCCCAAACTATCCCGCCAGTTTTTTGTTTTGGATTTTCCCAAAATTTGAACCAAATAAAAAGATTTTCCCACCATATCATGAATCACTCGAAGATGCAGCTTTGAAATAGGAAAGGCTAATTAAAACACAAAGAAAAAAAAAAGGAAAGGCTTGACAGGCTGGAACACGATGTCGTACAGGACAATAGAATTAGGGTAACTCTACCTTCCTCATTCGCATCCTTCATTCTTCCTCAGATCCACCCATTTCCTCACCATCGTTCCAGTGATTAGGATAACGAAACAGCACGAAAATCACAAATCCTACCCTAAAAAAACGACAATCCAACGATGGAGCTCCAAACAGAACGGCGACGGAACCCTGTTTTTATCCGCCAAAACAAAATTTCATTTCTTTGCAACCCTTCCCATCCCACTGAAACAGAATAGCATAGTTTCATTCTCTCTTTCCATTAATCGTTTGATGTTCCTGGGAAATCTGGTCGATTTGGGGTCTTCGAAGCTGGCCCACTTTGCCGGCGGCCGAAGGTGTGGCCTTGTCGATGAGCACGCGGAGCTTCAGATATACGATTTCTGGGATATATGGCGCATGCATATCGCATAATGAATCACTCGAAGAAGGTAGGCTTCCGAATCTCTGCACTTCCCTCGCCCCGATTTGGCTTTGATTCACTGAAACGGCGATTGGTTCAGGTTCATGCTCTGGTAGCGAGCAAC